TTTCACTGTTGGAAGCTTGATGTTAAGCCTTGCATTCATAAATGAAAATTTTCATTTTATTTCACTTCAGCTTACTTTCTAGCAAGACCTTTCTTGGACGGTTTAACTCTCAGTTCATTAATACTTAAATTCCTTATGTGATGCAATTAAATTGTTATAATGGAAAATGGGGTTTGGGTGGGATTTTTTTAGGGGAAAGTTTTTTCTGTTTGTGTCCACTGAAGTAAAAAATTCTTGAACACGAAGAAGCTTGTTCAGTTTTGACTTAGATAAAACCCCAAAATTGTACCTGCAGTATGAAGAAAGTAAGGAAAGGAGTGTGTTGGTTGTTGCCAATAAAAGGACAAGCTCTGATGCATCATTTTTTTGCCATACCAAAACGTTTAGTTACAATCCTGTTACAGTTATTATCACAACATTAAGAATTTTGGCTAATTATAAGCTGATTTCAAGTAACTTTCATATCTATCACTGAAACTAAAACTATTTCGGAGTCAGAGTACTCTGAAATAGTACTCTCATTAGCACTCTCACAAAAATGCACAGAATTTGTATGTTCCCATAGTAGGGCACAATGACAGAATTCTAATAAGAGATGATAAATGAGTATTAAATAATGTATTTCACCCTTTTTTTTCTATTTCACTTTAAAAAGTGATGTATGGCCAAAATAAGGAACTCATCTAATTTAACTGTATTGGAATAAGTACTCTGGTGTATCTACTGAATTCAACATAGATATTGTAAGGAGATTATAGATCTTATGTATTTATATATGCATAGTATATATTTATTTTTAGTTTAGGCCTAAGATAGAAGTGTTCTGATAATTCTGTAACTTCCACTTCTTAGAAGAAGTTCTGTACAGAACTGCAAGCTGACTAGTCTTCACTCACAAGTCTCTTTGCAAGGTTTTCTATCAGGATCCATATGCAAGCTGGGGGGGGAAAAAAAAGCTCCTGGTTTTTACTTTACAGCACAGATTTCCTTCATTTATTTCTCAAAACCTCTTTTGCTTCACACTGCTTCTTAGTGTGAGGCTTGAAAGGAAAAATAAACATTACTGCAGCTTAACAAGTTATCACATTGTCTGAGCCTTGCTAATTGTCCGTGTGAGTGTGCTCAGCTGGCAGCAAGTGCCCCCAATGACAGGCAAGGGCAGTTACACTGATCCTGGGCTAATCAGCCCAGCTGGTGGAAGGTCCTGGAAGTGGCCAAGCAGCCTCTCTCCCAGTTAGGTTCAGAAAAAATACCAAATGACAACGGGAGGCTTTCAGCTATTTTTTATCCTGTAATTTTCTGCTGGATACCAATAGAGAACAATTAGTTTTTCAGATTAGTTAGAGCCTGCCTTGTTCATCATAGCTGGAGCTGCTTTTAATCAGGGAATGTTTTGTTGGGGAAAAAAAAAAGAAAAAGGAATATTTCATGGCAATGTATCTGTGTTGAAGGACTTCCTTGAAACACAGGACAGGCTTTGATGAAGTGCTCACCCTGTGTCAGACATTTAAGGTGAATCTGTTTTGACCTTGAATTCCTCAAAGATAAACAAGCTTTGAAACTAAGGTGGGAAAATGCTCTGTGTCATTCTGATATGGATAAAAATCTTTGTAAATACGAAGAATTCACAGCAACACAGTCAGGTATAATAGAAATTAATAGCATTTTAAATCACTCATTCCTTCAACTCCAGCTTTCCCTGTCCTTACAAGTGGGTCTTCACACCCAGACTGTTTCAGTCACTGTGGCTGAGTCTGCCCAATTCTATTCTGTCACCTCTGTTCCTTGGGAAATGTCCTCCTCTCGTTCCTCAGGGCAGACTGACTGCTGTATTCCCTGTTCCATGTTACACTCATTTTGGATAAGCTGGGCATAGCCAAGTTTGCTGTGGGATGCTCTCACCTGCCATATACTCCATCCCCTGGCTCTTGCCCCCCTTGAGCAAGCCCAGTAGATGTTCTCTGTAGGAATGCTCAGCAGGAAGTCAAACAGCAAAACTATGACCAAAATGGGGTGGGGACAGAAATATTTGTCACAGTGGCTGTGGAGGACTCAGTGAAGTCTTTCCCCCTTTAAGCAGCCTTTCATGGTGACAGAATGGAATGAACCCCTGGAATGAACGGGCTGTCCTGTCCTCTTGCAGCTCTCACTGCCAATAGCTGTGCCATTGACCTTTCTGCTCATCATGAACATCTCCCCAGCAGCAGGTCCTGTGCATTACTAGAGGGTTTTATAGCACCTCTTTAGTTCCACACTGTGCTTTTGGCATGTGAAGGTTAAACCCTCTGTGTTCTCTCAAAGACTCCGGTGCTTTTAGAATTCATCTTTCCTCTCCTCAGAGATTTTTATTGATAACAGCCCAGTACCTGTAGCTGCAAGAAATCCATGGAGTGGGTCTGCATATTGAATAGTGGTATTTTTAGGCTCACATCTCCCAGTACAGCACTGTCAGTGCTCAGAGGAAACGCTGATTATTTTTTATTCCCATTTCTGTCTTTGTCCTGGTGTCAGAAATTGAATGGTACAATTGGATGTTTTCTTTGGAAATAAACTACAAGACAGTCTAAGCCAAAAAATAGAATTTTGTATCTGTGATGTAGTGGTCAATATTTTGTCAATATTTGCATTTGCAGACATAAAAACGTAAATAGTTGCAAAAGGCAAACTGTGGCAAAACAGGAAAGGCCCTTGTACCTTGTGAATTTATCACACCTGAGCAGGCACTGCCTTGAAGTCAGAGATCTCAGAAAACAGCTGACTTCCATGAAGGTTCTTTTTTTTTTTTGTCTTCCAGTCTACTGAGACAAAGGATGTAAATATATTTTTGTAAAGAGTATTGTTTTGGTAAGAGTATTGATTTCTGTTTGCTATTAGGAATCACAACATTTACAGCAAGATACAATTTTACAATAGGAAGGAGGAAATAAGGGCTAGGAACATTTGACTGCAAATCTTTATGTTTCAGATTGATTAGGAAAATATAAACTTTGGAGCAACTAAATAGTATGTGGGGTTTTTTCTATGGAGACAAAGCTTTCATGTTTAGTAGTAGTTTCCAAGGTGACAGTTACTTATAAAAAGACATTTCTAGTATATAAACAAGTATTTCTCAATACAGAGGATATCCAGGCTCTTGGATCCCTGCTTTTAGATAGACTATGTTATATGTTGTAGATTCATTTAGTTTAAAAGACAGTCAGGGTTTGCATGTATTTCAAAAAGAACCACATGCCTTCAGAGTAACTCTTTACATGTAGCAAAATATATATAATCAGAACTGAATCTGGGGCACTACTGTAAAAAGGACTAAAGTGGTATTTCTGTTAAAGGTAACACCTTAATAGTCTGCATTAAATCTGATTTTTAGTGAGTCAAAAAGCTGCTACAAACTGAATTATATGAGACATAGAAGAATTCTAGATTTCTTTTGTCAGCTGTATTTCTGAATTCAGCATTAATATATCAAATATTTGCTTATTGCCCTAATACTAGTTAGAGAATTGATTCATTGCATTGCATTTCCTGAATCACTTTGTAAACTTTATGAGTGTGACTTCTCAAGCTATTTGGATGAAACATCCCATCCAGGAAGATTTCAGGCTTATTAGATTCATTAGAGGAGCAAAGAAGATTGATGCCAGTAATCTATATAAATACTATGAAGCAGCAAAATTTTGGGGGGATCAGGATGAAGACTTTGTGAATTTTTACTTCATTACATAATTTCCACATTGCAAGACATTTTCAGTTTTCTCTTGCTTTTACACAAACGGGTTTGGAGAGAGAAGGTTTAATTTGCTAGAAAGTAAAACAAGATGCAAATGATTTTCCAGTTAATTTGGGATGTTAACCAATAGTTTCTGAACAACCCCAGTGCTATGACAAACATAATTTCCCGACAGTTACTTTAAGATCCAAATTAATCATAGATCATCGAGTAAATTGGTTATTGGCAACCATTCAGAAAAGGAAGCTGTCTATACTGTAAAGCTCTGCATTAACCTGTGTTCTTGAAAGCTAATTGGTGACATAAGGTTGAGCAAAACTGTTGTCAGCTGCTTAACTCCAAGTGTAACATGACAGGAAGGGGCTGGTGCACAAGTTTGATGAGGAGTGGAGGAGGGAGCTGGGAGTGTTTAGCCTGGAGAAAAAGAGGTTCAGGGGTGACCTTATTGCCCTCTACAACTGCCTGAAAAGAGGTTGTACCAGGTGGGATTTGGTCTCTTCTCCCAGGTAACAAGCAACAGGATGAGAGGAAACGGCCTCAAGCTGTGCCAGGGGAGGTTTGGATTGGATATTAGAAAAAATATCCTTCCAGGGCCACTACATGAGATTGTAATATTGTCAGCCAGACTAGAGATGCAGCCCTCAATCAGATCCCAAAGGGGTTGCTGCATAAGTCAATTGGTGTCATTTTGCCTCATCAGGATTACTGTGCCCCTTTGCAAGAATCCAGCTGCTGGCAGCTGCTCCCAATGTCCAGACACTGCCTGTCCCTGCTCTTAGCTGGGCTCCAGCCTGCTGAGTGCCATGGGATGCTTTTAACTGCAGTATAACAGCAGGAATGACTCTAGGGGGACACTGCTACTAACATAAAGTAAATATTTTAAAGCAGTTAGTATCTCAGAATGTGGGCAAGAA